TCCCGGGCAGGCGCAGCTGCAGCTCGTTGGTTGGCGCGGGAGCCGGGGCGGGGCGGCCCGGGGGTCGCTCGGCACCTGCTGGATAAACTTTTGGGAAAGGCTCGGAGGAAGGAGCTCTCGGAGCTGTGGGCTCTGCTGGCCGGGACGCGCTGCAGTGACCGGCCTGAAGTGGCAGCAGCTCTTTGCGTGCGTTGTAAATGCCGCAGGGATTGCTCTAAGCGGTGAAAAAAGCCCAACCAAACACCCAACCAAAACCCAGCGGATAGAAAGCAAACCCCAAAAGCGGTCATCGTGGTGGGTTAAAGTGTAGTGCACCCGTGTCTCGGATAAACCGGTTTGTCCGACGCTTCCAGAGTTGCAGAACACCTGTCACCGGGAGGGCCCGGGGAGAAGCGCTGGGGCTGGTGCGTCTGCAGGAGTCACGGATGGCAAGTGGGAGCGCAGATGACTCTGCAAGGGAATTGAACTTACATTTTTACAATAGAGTTCTATTTCTTAACGCGACTGAGCCAGCTGTGGGGCATGTTTCAGCTAGTTGGGTACTGCACAATTTTTTTTGGCACTGCTTGTATTGCTTGAAAATCTGAACGCTTCTGTGTTTCTGTGCATCCAGGTTTTCCTGATTGGATCCACAGTGCACACATACCTTGATCTGGCTGGAAAAATAGCATTGAAGAAACCAATTTAATAGTGGTATTCAATTTAATAGTGACTAATTACATTATATAAACTCATCAATTGTGTGTTGCAACACAATTCCAGCAACAAAATATTGTACCAACATACAAGTGCATGTGTTCATATATATTTCTATGAAGTTCAGTGTTAGCATCAAAAGCGATTTTGGTAGAGTTTTCTGCAGTATCTTTTGCCTCAGTGGATCAAGGAAGTTCCTTTCTCCACGCCACTTTTGAACAATTTTTGAATTTTAAGATTCTTTTTTCCATTTTGTCTATAATTTATAATTCCATGCTTGAGGATTATTATGTCAGGGCAAGTAAATGCGTAGAAGATGCTTCCAGAAAGCTAAGCAGTTACTAAAAGCCAGTGATAATCAAGGATATTGTTAGGTAGATTTAAGAAAATTAAGACATAAGAAGATTTGCAATAAGTAATTCCTCACTCAGGTTTAATAAGAGGTGTCATTCTAAATAGTTTTGTGCATTACACATAGTTTCTGCCATCAATAGCCTGTTCTGGTTAAAAAGTAATGGCAGAGGCTGTAATGTATTTTAGTGTTGTCCTGCAAAGAATTAAGTAGAATAAGGTTTATACACAGTAACTCTATTGAAACCTTTTACAAATACGAGTTCAAGTCATGTTCTGAGATCAATCCCGTTTATCAGTATTAGAACCTGTGCATGTCAGATAAATAATATGTATGTGAACATTAGTGGAGTCAACAGGAAAACAACATAGTGTGAAGGGGCCACGTTTAAAGAAAAATTAAAATGGGTCTAATTATGCAGTCATGAAAAACACAGTGAACTTTCTAATTAGTAAGAAAATGAGCTGGCCTAAGATTTATTGTTTACATAGAGTAAAACATTGGAATAAAATGTCATGGTCCTAATCTCATCTGAAGCACTCAAATTTTGAATTTGTGAGGTATAAAGAATTTATCAATATATATTTTAAGTCATTACAATTTAAACTTAAAATGTAAGCTCCACCTGTTGGTCAAAAAGTGGGATTTCAAATTATATTTATTACTTCACTCAATTCCAAAAGGGCTTTTACAAGAAAATAATATAATGGTGATTTTTCTACTTGAAATCTGAAAATATATGGACTGGGTGTTAAGAGGAACAAGTGTGACAATAACTTGGGATGAACCTGATTTATGACCAGCTGAGGCATCCAGGTGATTTTAACTCTAAAGCAAAAAAACATGCAAGTTTAATAGTTTTTCTCAGTATGTTAAACATTTATGTTGGAGCATTGTTCTAATAATGTATTTTGTACTTGACTGTCACCAAGGCTGAGCCTTTTCATCTTGCAACCTCAAGTCTACTCCATATTTGTACACAAATGTTGTTCTGTCATAGTTAAAAGTACAAGCTCTTTCTTGATTAGATGCACATACAAAAATTTCCAGATATTTTGTGTGGCCATAGCTCTTACTGTAATAATAACAAGATGCAATAGATTTATGCTGAAGTACTTGAGAAAGATATAGGAATCTGTGCAAATAAGTGTACTTACATATTTTTTTTTTTGGTAGAAAAATAGCTTGCTAAAATAATAATTCCAGTTTATAGTTGAAATGTTTTACAGGCTCTTAAAGTTGCTATACTGCTATAGTCAGGGTGGCCCCTAGAAGTCCTGAAGGGAAAGCAGATGAGTTAAGCCTTAACTCACCACATCAGCTAGTCATTTTTATTAGAAGTCTCCAACTAAGTCTTACATAATCTGGAAAAGTGAACCTTCCCAGGTTTCTTCTGATCATTCTGCTTACTCAAGCCCTTTCATTACTTTGCAAGTTATGTAGAGCCTGCAGGAAGAGCAATTCCTTCTTATGGTCCTAACAAAGTTCACAGAAGAAATGTGAATAAAAGAAAACAGAAGAAATTCTTCCATTCCTGTGAATGGCAGACACGCACTGTGTGACTTTCCACCCTCTTAATGGAAAATGCTTTCTCCTTTGATGTGTTGGAGTTGCCACTGGAAGACATTTTTTATTACATACCTCAAAGTCCACAAGAAGCAGAATAAACTATTGGAAGACCTGTGTTACTCTAGTGATCATGTCTCATCACAAGCTCTGCCACTGGTAAGAAGGTGACCTTCTAATGACCTGCACACTATGAGTGAAAGGTTTGTTTTCTAGAGTTCACTGTTCAGAGGAGAACCTTGAGGAGCTGTTGTGGTACCATGGACAAGGCAGTTGCCCATAAGTGGGGAGATAAAGATTTTGTTCCTAGCTGTCCCAGTGTTCTGCTCTGTGATTGTTGGGCCATAGCATGCATGCCTCTTGTATTGTGTGCTTTGAAAGGAAAGTCTTTGATGACAGGACTGACTTTCTGGCATTTGCATAGCAACAAAGGGTTATGAGCACCACAATCAGAACAACCCTTAAGTATGTAGAAAGTGGCTGGAACATGGAGAGTGCTACCATAAATAGCAATAATAAAACTTTAATGACCCCTCAAGTTAAACTTTGGGCAACTACATTTTGATGCTGGAGGTTGGCCCAAGAATTTTTAAAGAAGATTTTAATCTCTTTTCTTTCCTGCCTCCAGGGTGAGAGCTGTTGACAAAAAAATAAAATCGTACAGAATTTTGGAATGCTGGTGAAATACCTGATTTTGAGAATGGCGAGAATCTACCATCTGACTTATTTCATCATTCAATTGTGTCTTCACCTTAGAGACAGAGCCTGCTAATT